TTCCACTGTAAATCCACTTATTTATTTGACAAGATTTAAAGATATTCGACAACAGTGTAGGTTACTGTTGAAATTTAATGTGCAAATCTAGCCATCTCTCTCAGGAYAAACTTCTTTCCATATACACTGTTATTTTGTAAATTACGAAAGAGCAGGAGCTGGATGTCAATTTCTTAAGTACAGAGACAGATTTTATGGGGCTCAAACCTTTTAGTAAAAGTCTCTAGTGATGCAGTGYATTTCAATCTCCTGATAACAAACGAGCAGGGGACTGGAACTGATTTTTTTTTAAAGTGATACAATCTTACAGAAATCTGTTGTCGATAGATAAGGCACATATAAATAAGGTGAATTTAAAGTTTGAGCAAGTTTAAGTCATTAGAAACGCAATTAGAAAATTTCCAAAATTATAAAGAATACTGTTTGGCTGGACGCTTTGGCTGGACACCATACATTTCATTGTAATTTTGGGCATGATTTGAATGTCCGTAACTTTATTGCTATAARTTCAAACATCATGAAACTTAGTCAGTAAGCCTTTTGGATGGTGCTCTATCGCATGGTGGGTTCTTTCTGGAACCATTATTAAATTAGATTTTGAAGTTTGGACCCACCTCCTTTCTCATTTTGTTATCGGCCAATCTTTTGCATGCTTATGACGACGCTTTTGTTCTTAAAAACATTCGCAACAAACTGGAAATATGTTCACTTTCGGAGCTGAAAATCTCAAAGATACAGAAGTCATGTAGCAAAGTGCCTCAAGGATATTCAGAGCTGATGCTGTATTATGCTCTATCAAGATCTAGAGAAATGGAAGAGAAGAGAGAAATGGAAGAGAAGAGAGAAATGGAAGAGAAGAGAACTAGGAAAGACATGAGGCTTTGCTAAAATCAGAAGGCGCTCTCAAATACTTACAGGTCAGCTATGATTGTGCTGTCCAATACTCTGTTCTATTAATGTTATAAGTCAATACATTTTAAATAACTTATCGTTGACATGTGATAAACAAATAAACCCTCATTGATTAAGGTCGAACATTTATTGGAAAATCTTAATTTTTTCTGGACACCTGTCTAGGACATCGGTTGTCTCTTATACTCATACTGATTTTGGCGACGGCGCAGGAACGATTTCTTGAGGCATGTAAATATGATGAGGTGATTCGAAAACCACGACTTTATAGATCATGTCATGTGTTTTATTAGTCATATCAATATCCCTGTACTTTTGAAAACTGTGTCGGGGTGAACGGTGAACCGCAATTGTCGAACGAAATTGGACGGCTAAAGGGAACTGGCCTTGCGTGAAAAATTGAGACCAAATAAATAGAATGTTTACCATTTATCTGACAGTATAAAACTAACATTTGCTATCAATTAGCAAACCCCATGCAATTGCCATTTTTCATTTCATCCAGCAATTGTTGTTTTTAAAAAGGTATAATATACAAGCTCAAAAGAGCACGAAAAAAGTAAAAAAAAGTCAGGGCAGGTGAACAAAGTTTATTTTGCGCTTCATCAAATTCATAAGGAATGGTATTAATGTAAAATCAATTAATATTCCTTGACCCTTCAATAATGACATGTCGTTTATTAGTCTTGCTGCAATTGTTTTCTTGTGACTCCAATCTCCGATTATGTTCAGTGGTGTCGGGTTTCAATTACTGCTTATATAAGAGTTATAAATAAGAATTCTGAACCTTGATAAAAACATCAATCAATTAAATTCATAAAAGTCGTCGGAGTACACGTTCAATTAACATTTGAAGAAAGATATATCTTTAGGTGTTCTTTGAAAAAGTACTGAACTGAGCTTTTCTAACGCAGTGCATGATGTCCAACGATTCATTTCAAGATATGATAAATACGAGTGATTGTACAAATGCCGTCTTTGCTTCAGAARTCTTGAAGGATTACAATRTYCCGAAAAATCCACTCRTAGTTTCTATTTTTATCAACGYGGTYTTGTCAATTTCAGCAACATTTGGAAATGGATTGGTTATCGTCGCCATCTTGARATCCCAGAACCTCCAMACACCKTCTTACCTACTGATAACAAGTTTGGCGTTCACAGATCTTYTGGTTGGATTATTCTATCATCCGTTTCTTACTTTCAATAACTTTCTTATACTTAACAGGAATATAAAAAATATGTGTGATGTTTTAGCTATAGTGTTTGCTGGACTCAGTGTAGCGTCTTTTCTTAGTTTGATTTCACTCATTATGAATGCTTTCATCAGCATCGACAGATATCTAGCGCTGAGTCTAAAACACCGATACAGAATTCTGGTCACAAAAAAACGAGCTCGTATCGCTATTATATTTGGATGGGTTGGGACTGCWTTTTTTCAGGTGAYGATATCAATAAYCACTTTCWTGTTTGAACCTCGAGTAGGKTKGTTKGTAATTTTTGTTTTRTTTCCYATACTRCTTCTCATCGTTGCTCTCTACATYATGTCATTTGTAAACCTTCATCGWTACACATCGCAAGTTTGCGACCAACAACCCAACTCGTCACAGGGCARCTTTGATGTTTYCAAATACAGAAAGACCTTAAAAACAATGGTGGCCGTATCGGGATGCTTTACAACTTCCTGGGTTCTTTTCTTGGGGATATTCATTGCTACAGYTTTCGCTGGAWATAACAMGTTTWCAATATTAGCTAMCATTGTAAACTTCACAATATTTGGTGYTTTTTCCAGTATCAACCCAGTTATTTATTTGACGAGGTTTAAAGATATTCGCCAAGAGTGTAAGCTACTGTTAAAAATCTAATTCACAAATCTAACCATCCATCTAACGGAAATATAAACGGAATCGGCCTGTGTGAAGACATCTGAGCTGCATGGCCGTGCAAAATGTAGAATACCAAAATGTTATGCTGAACTGGGYCTATCACATATGAAAGAGCTCCTCCAATCAAGACTGATTCTAAAATATTTGTACATATTGTTAAAGTTTGCGAAGCATTAGCAACTTTCATTTTMTATCAAATGACTACCCGGTCTGGGTAGTTTCCATTACACGTACCTACAAGTTCTTATTGAATTCCCTGCTGTAGGAATTCGGTTATTGCTTTGAGACCTTATATACCATTTCACACAGCTGATTAATTCATGCCGATTAATTGAGTTCAGTGTTGTCACCGGTTTCAGTTATTGCTTTGTAATGAAGTCTTTAYTTTTCACTTCAAGTGATTATAATAGAAGAAAACCTTTGTAAATACATCAATTCAGTCATAAMTACGACGTCAGACGGTTCAYCATTGCTTAAAATTTGAACCCAGTTGCAGCTCGATGTGTTCTTYCATGTCGAGTTATGATGAATACGAGSGATTGTCCAAATTTCTACGCCACRGAAGTCTTGAAGAATTATGATAATTTAAGGCATCCACTCACAGTTGCTATTTTCTTCAACGTGATTTTGTCAATTTCAGCAACGTTAGGAAATGGTTTGATCATCGTCGCCATCTTGAAGTCCCAYAACCTCCAAACACCATCCTACCTGCTGATAACAAGTTTGGCGTTCTCAGATCTTCTGGTTGGTTTAGTTTATCATCCGTTTCTAACTTTGTATAACGTTCTTCTTCTAAATAAGAATACGGAATTTGCGTGCAAATACCCTGTTCTATTCACAGCTGGTTCAAATATMAGCACTTTWCTTACATCGGTTTCACTTCTAATGAACGCTTTCATCAGTAYCGACAGATATCTAGCGCTGAGTTTAAGACATCAATATCGAA